CCTCCCCTTTACGCTACCTGCTTTCCCCCCCCCCCCAGCCACACTTTTAAAAAGACAATAATGAGGGGCCAGCAGGTAGCATGGTGGTTAAGGTGCTGGATCCCGTGGCTCAGTTCGAGTCTTGGGGCCATTACCTTGTACAATCACAGCAAGTGCGTGTGCAAACATGCCCGAAATCCCAAGGACCATGGAGGAGAGGGGACTGTGGCATGGCCACCCTCCAGGCAGTGATTTCTCACTTTCCCAGAGCATGCACCCTATGGGAGAAAAAAGATTAATGAGTTTAAAGAGCAGCTTTTCTCCTAATTGATTATTTTATCATCATCACGGGAGAGGATTTAAAAATCATGGAGGTCTGCAGAGGTTCTGCAGCTTACCTAAGAGGGAGAGCCCAGCAGTGGGCTGAACAGGTCCTGCCTCACCTCCTGCTGTGCAGAGCTGGGAAGGGCATGGCTTTGTGCCAAACAGCAGCAGAAGCTGCTCCTCCCCGTTCATCCTAGCCCTTTCCTGGGTCCGCTCCAAGGAAGCAGCCAAGGTAGTCATGAATTCGGCCCGTGTTGGTTGGGAATTCTGCTAACTGAGTCTTTTAGTCATTCACTAAATGGTAATTAAGTGCCTACTGTGCACCAGGAACTGTTCTAGGCACTGGTTGCTAACGTGGAATATTATGAACCCTGGGGCCAACGGGACAAAAGCAGCCGAGCGTGTTTTCTAAACCTCGTTGGCACCTGCCCTAACTTCAGCGATTTGCCAAGTTGCTTCAACCGCGCACCACGATTTGGGTACAAACAAAGGTTCTTTTGTAGACCCTGCCCTAAGAGTCAGTCGAGGGAGATCTCACTAGTTTAAAAATGAACTCTTTTTCAAATAGGAAGCTGGAATTATACAACCCGAAGAATAACCTATGACTTGAGCTTGCCTGCTTCATTCCAGCCTCTATTCAACTGCTGACCCTGCAATTCCTGTAAGCACAGCTCCCACTGAGGTGAATGGGCGTGCTGTGTGAATGCAGGTTTTGTACTTCATCTTCTCCAGCTGAACGAGCCTTGCTTGTCCTGGACTGACACTCATGCCAATCCCCTTCCCCAGTGGGAGTGTGCCCACCGCCCACATGGAGCAGGGCTGTGCTACGAAGATAGGCTCCAGGTGAAGGGAAAATCAACGTGGAACTAAAACGGCTGCTCTACTGCTACTCCACTGCCTCCTCCGGGAGCACAGTCTCCGTGACGTTGCCCAGAGCCCCAGAGAGTGAAGAAGTAGAACAGTGAGTCAATGGTGTTCTGAGCACACTGTAAAACACCAGGACTGCTAGGATTTTTGTTTGTTTGTTTGTTTAACTTTAATTTTTGCTATAGGGCATGTATACTCACCAGAGAGAGAGAGAGAGAATAAGAAATCCCCCCAGAGGGGATGGCCACCTGCAATCCCTTCTCCTCCAGTCTCCTCTCAGGATTTTGGGCACACACACACATGCCTGGTGTGATTTCAAGCCACTGGGTCTGGGACTTGAACCATATAGTCAATCATGTGGGGTTCAGTACCTTAACCTTCACGTCACCTGCTGGTCTGACTCTGATAGCTTTGCTTTTTTTTTTTTTTTTTTTAAGAATTATTTTATTTAACTTCAATTTATTTAATTTTGACCAGAGAGGGACAGGGTGAGAAAAAGAGAGACGGAAAGTGAGGAAACAAGCCATCAGGTCCAGGATTTGAACCATGGTCGGCCATGTGGGAGTCCAGTGTCCTTAACCACCACACCACTTGCCAGCCCCCTCTGCTAGCTTTTTAACTAGGTCTCAAATCATTTACTTTCTCATTGGTGGAATGGAAAGAGATGCAGGAGAAAGAAAGCAGGTGTTCTTTCTAGATGTGGCTCTGCTGCTGAGCTGGTTATCTGCCCATAAAACATCACTTGTCCACCCCATCTGTTAAACAAGGTATGGAACTTAGAATATTCTAAATTCCCTTTCAGGTTTAGAAACA